GGGAGGTCAAAGCTTGGGTTTGGTGAAGTCAATTGGGGTTGGCCATGTGTAAAGGTGTTGAATTAAAATAGGATGCGGGAAGGGTTATTTTGGGTCAAATTGGGTCAAGTCGTGGATTTGGGTTGGGTTCACCCACCAAGGCTGGCTTGAATGCTGAGAGAAATCAGATGGTTCAGCTTAATCATTAGTAAGGTCCCTATCCAAGTGATTTGGCTAAGCATGGGGTTTAAGTGATTCATGGGAAGAGTTAAAAGAATCTTAAGGATATTTAAAAGTTCTAATGGTGAGGGTTCATTTTCTAGTCCTCTAGGAATAGTCAATAGGAAAGTCCTATGGCTATACCCTAAGCTATTAAAGAGGAAAAGCTAGACCTCAACCAAAAATGAGGTCAACAATCCACTGGGGCCACTCTTGATTATCCGATTACTAAATATTTGTTTTTCTTGTTTTAGGTTTTCAATTTTTCAAGTGTTTTATTTAGGACAGTCGTCATAGTCCATTTCTTCCTTTGAGGGTTGTATCCGAGAAATTGGGTGGTGCTCCGGTTGTATCTCTCTCCTAAGGTGATGATTTTCTACCACTATTCCCTCTGCATCCCTCCCGCTTTGCTGCCTCACATTCACCCTCATTGCATGTCGCCTTGACAACAGTTTTTCAAGTGATTTTGAGTTGAATTGATGGGCTAATTTTGATGGATTTAGGCATATGGTCAAAATTGAGGCCTTTGGATTTGAATGAAATTGGGTTTGTAATTGGATCAAATTGGGCTTAAATTTTGTTTAAATTAGGATTGGGGATGTTGAATTTTGATTTGGAATTGAGATTGGGCAAGATTGGGGTCAATTGGGCTAAAATTGGGGCTAATTTTGGGACATTTGGGCCCTTAAGGGCAAATTGGGGTTTTTGATCAAATTAAACTAATTTGGTCAAATTGGGTCAAATTGAGGATAAAAAATTGAAGTTGAGAATATTTGGGATGATTTTGAATTTTTTGAATTTTTAGGTCATGAAGGGCATTTTGGTAATTTTGACAATTTTTTGGGATATTTTGGAATTTGGTACTTTTTGTGAATTTTGGTTAATTTAGGTAGTGTGGGGAGTTTGAGATGATTTTTGGAAAGATTTAGGTATTTTGGGTAATTTTGGAAAAATTAGGGTTTTAGGGGTTTTTTAGTAATTTGGTGATTTTTGGACCAAATGGGCCAACAAGCCATGAAGCCACACTAAACCAATAGGAGTCATATGAGGACTCATTTTGGATGCTCAATGTGTTGGTTCTAACCCTCTTAGCCAAAGACTAGGGGTACAGGGTCATCCACATGAGCTTTCCAAAAGGAGTTAAGAGACCAACCTAACGGGTCATAGGGTTTAGGGTATGTGAGAGAATGTAGTGTGTGCAAGTTAGCACCACCAAAATCAGATCACCCAGGGTTAGTCCTAAGGTCTGACCATCCTATGGGGGGACTCTCCTTGAACTCTTCCATATTGTCCCCATCTACTAAGTGCTAAAGGTTATGACCAACATGTGAAACTTCAAGTTGAGTAAAGAAAAGTTTGGAATTTCTAATGCTGAGGGGTTCATTTTCTAGTCCTCTAGGAATAGTCAAAATAGTCAATAGGAAAGTAAAGTCCTATGGCTATACCCTAAGCTATTAAAGAGGAAAAGCTAGACCTCAACCAAAAATGAGGTCAACAATCCACTGGGGCCACTCTTGATTGTCCTATTACTAAATATTTGTTTTCCTTGTTTTAGGTTTTCAATTTTTCATGTGTTTTATTTAGGACAGTCGTCATAGTCCATTTCTTCCTTTGAGGGTTGTATCCGAGAAATTGGGTGGTGCTCCGGTTGTATCTCTCTCCTAAGGTGATGATTTTCTAACACTATTCCCTCTGCATCCCTCCCGCTTTGCTGCCTCACATTCACCCTCATTGCATGTCGCCTTGACAACAGTTCTATAGTTGTTTTCTGCAGTTTTCACGCTATCCAACCCTTTTCTTCATTGCCCCTGCTCAAGACCACGTTCCTTTGGATGTTTGGCAACCCACCACATCCCCAATCGCCATTCCAGTCTCCATCGTCACTACAATCACCTCCAGCCCATCGCCAACCTTGTTGCCATCCGCCCACCCCC